CAACTGCCAGTATCAGGCAGGTTTTCCTCACCTTTCTGCTGCAGCATAGCAATCCCCTCCTTCCTGAGCAGATGCTGCTGTCTTAGGGCAGCAGGGGAAGACACACATGCACATCTAAGGAGGCATTTAAATACAACGAAACCCGTTTTAAATGGGGTACATAAAGCAGGAATATCACCAGCACCTTTCCAACACTGGTCCAGATCAGTGCGCTCCAGCCTTTGAGAGGATGTCAGAAACATCACATCCATTCAGAGATTTTTATACCTTCTTTATAAACATCACTTCAGTGCAACCTGGAGATGGATATTTGCTGCCAGTTCCCTTCCACAGGGCAGAGCACTACACAAACACCCTGCACAGCTTCTTCCCTGCACACAGGTTTCCTTTCTAGTCTCCACAGGCTACAACAAGTAGTCTGCTTCCTCCAGCGAGAAGTAGACCTCCACATTTTCTTTCACATAAAATCTTATCAAACCTAACTCCAACAGAAGACATCCAACTTCAAAGCTGCATGATGCTAAAAAGCTGTTTATGTGTGTTTGATACATGCAGAGTTTAATGTTACACAAGATTCCTGTAAGCAATGCTTCACTGCATACACACAAATTTGATTTCAGGAACTCCTCAACAACATGAAGTCTGGAAAGCACACATTTTGGCTTTTTCTGCTTCATCACAAAAATCATCTTTTTCTTGCAGGCTAACTGTCATTTTGATGGGCAACAGTGTGACTTCCATACCTCCCGGCTTCTTCAAATCAGCATAAAATAACTGAAAAGGCCTCCCAGCATCTAAGGAGACTAACCAGTACTTCTGGGCTGCCCCTTTACCAGGAAAGCAGACATATCAAAAACATCAGTTGATTAAAAGTAAAACAAAATGGAAAGCCAAAATGCAAAACCATATGCCCACATCCCAGTACAACCCTAGACACACAGGCTTATGCCAAGACTCAAATACAAAGCAGGCATGGCCATAAGGCACATTCAGGAATAAACTGGGGGCACAAATGAACTAAAATACACTGATTTGCTCACCACACAACTTTTATCATTCTTAACCAATGCAAATATGTCCAAGTAGACATACACCCATTAATCTGCCAGAGTCAGGCTGCATTGCTGCTGTTTGATAACACACAGAGGTTTGACATTTCCACTGAAGGCAAGAGTAGGGAGGGGAGCAGCTCCAGTCACCCCATGCACCCACTAAGGCAGCAAGAAACAGCTGCTCTTTTCTTTCTTTCAGAAAGAGAAAGGTACAGGACAGTTTCCTTGTAAACAGGAACTGATCATCCAACTTCAGCAAGCCACTGATGTCAGGAATGGCACCCAAGGGTAAGAGAGGGACTCTAGTTCAATTCCTCATGCACTCAGACACCTCTTAACAACCTCCCTCTCCAGGCTCCTTGCCTCACACCCACCAAGGACTCTCTCACCACAGACAGACCTCCTCTGACTTTTTGCTAAAATAGCTGGAGTTAGGTGAAGAGGGTAAAGACATCAATGAGGGAGCAAACAGGACCACACACAGGTGAAGGGAACTGAGAATCCCAAATTCTTGTTGAACCAGTCAGGAATTCCCAGGCAACACATCTGAGCCATGATGTAACTCTGAGAAGACAGGCGCAGTAGCTCTGCTTTGCTTTTCAAAGACACCAGAGCACACCAGGCAGTGAGTATTTGGAGAAGTCCCAGTTGCCTCCAGTTTTCCTCAGTGCCCAATGCAGCTGAGCTAATTCCATAACCATCAGTTACAAGTGGTTCCAGTTCCTCTTTGGCACTGTAGTTAGGATGAGTGACTCCAGAGGCTGTAATTAGAATCAAAATTCTCCCTATGCCTTGGAATAAACTACATTTCTAGATTTCATACCACCATTCTTCAAATTACCATTTTCTGAGTAATGTTAGCAGTAATGACCATTACTAATCTTGGCAATGAGAGAAACACAAAATTACTCCAATTATAGTTTGGGTGTTGCTTTTTCCTTAATTCACTGTCAAAGGTATCCTACTTCCCACAGAATCTGTTTCCTCCACAAAACATCCAGGACACAAAATATTCAGGACTGTCCCTGAACTTTAATGTGACACATGACTAAGAACGACAGCTCTTCACACCAGCAACCACCAGCATCTGGACAGACTTCAGTCTTCAGCAACAGACATTTAAAAAATCATGGAACAGGTTCTATTTTATTACTCAGAATTCCAGCTCTCCTTTGTCTCCTTGACCACAGCACCATGAACTGCACTGGCCAGGAGACCCTGGGAAGAAACAAAGCCGCAGCTGATCCAGGTAGCCGAAAGAAGATGTGAGAGTGAAGCTGGGGCATGCAGAATAAGGGTGGATAATAAGGTCTGAAGCAATCCCTTGCTTGACAACCAGGCTTGAGGGCCATGGCTACACAGTGAGCCCAGCACAAGAACAGGGCAGTGTCCCTTCACTTCTTGTATTGTTATCTGGACGACTTTAACCTGTGTGTATCAAAAATGATGTAAGATACAGAATTAAGACCAAAACTGGGTGGCCTGCAGAGACCTTCTGGATCTGCTGCCCTTGCCCTGGACATCAATATGATAAGCCTCAATTTCTCTGGAGACTTCTCCCCTGTACCATCACCCTCACAATTCTTCCCTACCCTCAGGCCCTGATGAATGCCCTCACAGCTGACACTCCTTATAAAACTGCCAGCCTTGACACCAAAAGAGAAACCCCCTGCGAGGAACTCATCTCAGGTGAGCTTGCCCAAGCACATGGCCTCTGGGCAGGGTCTCCAAAAGGAACTGACAGCTGCCCAGAGGAGCGCTCACAGTCCTTTGGCATGGGCTTCTCCCACCCACCTCCCTCACAGCAGCAGTTGCACAAGTCAGGTTGGTGCTTCCGGCTGAAAATTAACTGAGCAGAACTTTTTTTTTTTCTTTTAAATATAATTATTTGTTTCCAGCTTAATTACTTCCTTGCTCCACCTTGTCACGCTGTTTAAGCCAATTAAATCAACACTGATGCAGTCCTACCTACTCTCCTCCCCACCCAGCAATGCATTCCTACACCTCCCTTGCTCCAGTGCCTGCTCAAGCCCCACCACAACACAAGTTGGGGTATCCCAACTGTGGAAGGCTCAACACTTCTGTGAGGTTTTCTTTGTTCAGCTCAGCTTGCCTCGGCATCAGCAGGAACACACGTGGTGGGCAAGGCTACTGTGCATCTTGGAGAGCAGCCAGAGCTGCCCCAGCAGCCTGCACACCACCAGCCCCTGAACACCACCTGCAGCCACATCCAGCCCCTTCCCAGCCCACCCAGGTGGTGTGGCAGCACAGGTCCTCCTGGGACAGAGTTTCTTGCAGTTCCAAGAACCATCAAAGTCACAGGAACCTGCTGCTCCAGAGCCCAGCCAGGATCCCACACACAACTCCTCCTGGGACACCTGAACACTCACCTGTTACCTTAGGAAAAAAACAGCAGCACTTGGGCATCATCACACTGGCCCATGGTCCTGAATTTATATTTAAACAGCCACTATGAACCAGCTACAGCAGAACCAACTGCCCTTTGTCCACTGGAGAGAGCACGCAGATGCTACATCACCACAAGCTCACAGGGCATCACAGGTGCCAGGGTGCAAAACCAACTCTCAGCCTTGGAAGATACAGGTGATTCAGAGTAACAATTTAAATATGAGAAGTGGGTCATGTGTAAATACAACGGGCAATACTGAGGGTTGTAAATGCACTACAAGAACAAGGCTTGCTCTTATTAAATCACAACTGCTGTGGCATATCATGGTCAAGTTTTTAACCCATGCATTTAATTCACAAGGTCTGGGACTCCAGTTTTTCAAAGACAAGTAATACTACCTTGACAAGGCCCAAAAGGTACCAAATTCTCCGTGTAGGGGAAGCTACAAGGAGCCAAAATTCAACTTTTTACTCCAAGTATACCAAACTCTTCAGTTTAATCATGAGTTTTCTGGCCAAACAAGCTCCCACCAGGTCTCAGCACAGTCCATACCAGGAGGACAGAACACAGAATATAGCAAATAACTGCGACAAACGTTATTTCACAACAGTACGTGCACTTCTGTCAAGAGAGAGAGCAACATTTCCTTTTTCCTGGTCCCAAAACAGGGCAAACTGCTTCTTTAATATTACTGTTCCTATACTTAATCAAAAAACCAAAACAAACCAGCACCGTGCCAATTCAGCTTACTAAGGCCTAAAACGTTTAAACGTTTTTCAAGCAGAAAGCATTTTTCAGTGGTCTAACTTTAAATGAGAAACTCAAAGGGTTTGCTGAGGCCTTTCTGAAAAACAAATATCCACCGTTTTTGCAAGGCTGCTCAACCATCAACAAGTGCAGGTGGAAACCAACACGACCCGCTGCAGCATTGTAAATTTCCATCGGAACGGAGCGAAACTGAACCGCAAGTTCGCGCTGAACTGATTTTACTTGAACGTTTGTTTTGAGAAAAGCGCACGGCGGAGGCGGAGGGCCGGGGCACAGCCGTCGTGCCGCAGCCCCGGCCCGGCCGCACCGCGGGGCTCCTGCGGCCACGGGCCGCCCCCAGCGCACTTGGCTCCGGCCGGCCCCCCCAGGGATGCTGCTGCAGCCGCGGCCTGCACCGGTCACCCGGAGCGGTCGCAGAACCGTTCCCCGCCGGGAGAGGCCGGAGCCGCGTCCAGCCCGGCCTTTGTCCCGGCGGCCGGGGCCGAGCTCCGGGCAGGCCCTGCGCCCCGGCGGGCAGGGCCAGGGCCGCGCTTCCGCGCGCCGGCCGCGACCAGGCCGCCAGCGGGGCAGGCCCGGAGCGGGGCCGCCGGGGCCGGGCCGAGCCGGGGCCGGGGCTTCCCGCGGGCAGAGCCGCTGCACAGCCGCGGCCCAGCGCGGGGAACGCGAGCCGGCAGCGCCCAGGGGTCCACACGGCCCGGGCAGGGCGAGACCTGCGGCGGCTCCGGCCCGGCCCGGCGAGGCCCGGCGCCGCCCGGGCCGGCGGTGCTTACCCTGCATGCTGCTGCTGCTGGCGGCGCCCGGCCCGGGCCCGCTCCCGCTCCCCCCGGAGCCGCCGCTGGGGCTGGGAGTCGCCATTGTGCGCGGAGCGGGAGCAGCGGCGGCGGCGCTGCGCAGGGCCCTCCCCGGCAGGGCAGGACACACGGCCCCGCCGCCCGTCCGCCCCCGGCTGGGGCCGCGAAACCCCTCCCCGCCGGGGCCCCGCGCCTGCGGCACCGCTGCGGCGGGGCGGAGGCGGCGCTGCCTCCCGCGGGGGGACGGGGCATCCCCGGGCGGTCCTGCGGCTCCGTTCCTGCTCCCTCGGGCCGGGGGGCCCCGCACCGCGATCGGCCACTCCGGCCCCTCAGCCCGCGGCGCCCGGACATCTGCTGTCCTGTCTCGCGTCCCCTCGGGGGCCGGCAGTCGGCCCGAGCAGCTTTATCGCATTTCTCATTTTCACCCCAGGGTTAGGGTTTCTGCCAAACAGGCAGCCCCTTGCAAACTTCTCCCGACTCCCCCGAGACCACAGGGCACAACTCCTTGCCGTGCTTTCCCGGACACCCAGGGCATCAGCCTCCTCCTGCCACCATCACTCTCTCCCTCATTTTCTTTCATCTCTTGGCCACTGCTGTTCATGTCAGCACATGGTTTCTGACCATTCCTCTTAACTCCAGCAAACCCACACTCCTAGTCATAGGGGCAGCACATACTGTGAATTAGAGCAGTGAAATTGTTGCCCCAGAGCTGTGGGTCCTCTCCAGCCTGCTGCATGACACAGGGGAGTCCCTTCACCTGCAGGAGGCCTTGTGTCCTCATCTTTGTAGTAGGAACAGTACTGACCCCTTTTATGAATGGAGATGGGCTGAGGGAAGTGCTGGATGTCCCACGTTTTAGAAGTGTGAGGACTGCTGCTCCATTCCCAAGTCACCATGGAGGTGATAATACAGCCCTGAACACACTCGGGAAGTGTCTCCAGGAACTGCAAACCATCACCCTGTGTGCAAGGGCAGTAGAGGAGGAGGTCAGGGCAGGAGCTGCCTGTCCATTCTGCCTTCGTTTTTTCTTCTTTCTCTCCCAGTTCAGCTCATATTGATTCCTCTTGCCTCATGGTAAGACCAAGATTTTTCTTTCCTCGTATGTTTTGAATGTAGGAAAGCATCTTCCTCCATCCTAGTCTTCTGGTTTCCCTGCTCAGTTGTGGGAGGGTCAGGGAGATGGACTGGAATAGTCCCTGGGGCACAGAGAAAGCCCAGCCTCCTGCCCAAACCCTGCTCTGCAGGGAACAACTCACACTGCTGAGCTCACCTTTGTCAGAAAGTGGGAGGTCAGAACTGGTCTTGACCATCTCCATGTTTCTGCTCCAAACTCCTCATAGTCCAGCAAATTCATATCCCTCCCTGCTGAGGATGCAGCTTTCATTTGCCTTGGGGAATACCATAACCCCTCTGACACAACTAAGATCCCAGTAACCTCTTTGCTGGGTTTGAACTTAGGCTGCTGCCCTTCACTGTCCCACCTTGGCCTCCACCCTCTCTGGGGACACTGCTCACTTTTTCAAAGCTACTTCCAGTCTGGCCCCTCCACCACTTTGGTTAGGAGAGGAACGGGAGTCACTTGTACCCAGAGCTTCGGAAAGGAACAGCCCTTCCTGGGTGTGGTTACTGTGAGCACCACGGGTGGCACCCATCAGTGCCAGCACCTGGAAGAGCCTGTAACAAAGCCCACGAACACAGCAGGTGAAGGTGTGACCTTATCCTCTCCTCCCACATTCCCGTACGGGACGCCTCCTTGCCTAGCACCAGCAGAATCCCAACCCTGTACCTTCACCTACACTGGGGAGCACCAGGGATGGCTGCTCTGTGAGAGAAGTGTTCAATGTTTGAGTTCCAGGTCAGGGTCTGGCTCGCAGCCCCAGGACACAGCTGTAACATAGCTTAGGTGGGAACCAAAGTGAGAGCTCTGGCTAAAAACAGCTGCCAGGTGAATGAGTGAAGAGTGGTTTATACATAGACATACACACACATATATGCAGCTTCTTCTATTTTATTTTTTTTTAATTGTTCCAAAGCCACCTGATGATAATTAAACCACTTGCTCTTACCAGCAAACCGGTCTTAAATGATGAGAGTTAAACTTCTTTGGTAGAGGGCTCAGTTTGAGTCCTGACACAAAAAATGTTCGCTTCCCTAGTTCCGTATCTTTCCTTTTTTCTTCCCTGTTTTGCTTAAGCCTTCTCTTCTGCATTAACCCCTGAGGGCAGGCCCAGGGTTGGCACCCTGCAGGCTTTGATGCAGAAACCCACTGCCTACTGGCAAACACTGGCACAAGCTGACTTCCACTTCTGCTGTGTGCCACCTACATGTGGTTTGCTTACAATCAGCTAAAGCCATACATTTCCTTCACTGCAAATCTGGGAGGATCAACAATACCTGTTCTGACATGTTTGTGAAACCTTTCCTTAAAGACCTCCAGTGACAGGGATTGTGCCATTCCCTAGCAATCTGTTCTGGTACATATCCTAACATCATCCAAGAGCCTAACTTCAGGGTTTGTTGTTTTTTTGTTTTATTCAAATCCTTTATATCCTGCCCTGTTCACTATGGCCACAGCCTTCTTCAAAGGACCCCTTGGGCACTCGATGATGTGCAATGATGAACTGCAATGTTTCCCTTCTTGTCCTTGCCTCAGCTTTCTCTTCTACACTTTACATGAATTCATCTCCTTCAGCCTTTCTTCATGTTTTCTATGCCTCCCAGCATCCTCACTGACCGCCTCTGATGTTTTCTCTGTCCATCTGCATTTTTTGAAGTACAGCATCCCTAGCTAGGCACGCTACCCCAGCTTGCCTTGGAGGCTACAGCTCACATGCTCCAGGACGGCATTTGCATTTTCCATTGCTGGTGTTCAGTTTGCTCTCCATATACTGTGAGCTCTTTTTTTGTTTTTTGGCGGGGGGAGTGATTTTTGGGTTGGTGGGTTTTTTGGTTGGGTTTTGTTGTTGTTGTCTTTGTTGTTTTGTGGTTTTTTGTTGTTGTTTGTTTGTTGGTTTGGGTTTCTTTGGAAAACTGCATCCACCCAGTTCCCTCATCTGATCTGTGTTGCTCACTGCTCATAAAAGTAATACTGGAATTTGTACCTATTGAATATTGCCCTGTAGATTGCAGGCTATTTCTCCATCTAGTGCTGAATCCTGTTGTCTTTGCTGTCCTCAACAGCCTGGAGTAATTAGCAGGTTTAATAAGGCAGTCATGGGTGTTAATCATCCAGGCTGTTAACTGAAGTAATTAAAAAGATCTGGCATCAGAATGGACTCCTGCAAAAATCCTCTGAATATGTCCTTCCATTTTGAGAAACACTGATAATTAGCACTTGAGGTACAATGATCTCACAAGTTTTACATTCAGATGCCCTTTATATCATAAGAAAGGGTCAGAACAGCCAATGTTAAAAACCTCCCTAAAGTCAACATATGTGATTTCTGTTACTTATAACTTTATTCCTAAAACATTGTGCCACACCAGGATATGAGAGTAGTTGTCAGCATTTTTTCCTGATGTGCCCTTCTTTCTGCAACCAGGACACCCTTTATTCTGTACCATCTACATCATGCCCAGATCCTATACTTTTCAATTATGTTTTATATATTATATACATATATACATATACATTCATACAACTGTACACAAGCACAGGTATTATTTCAGTAGTCTCTGGCCATCCCCACCAAGATGTCTGCTGAGTTCAGTTAGTCCATGGTGGTGTATCTGGAGCAGGTCATACTCATTGTCCATGGTAGCTATGACAGTGGCATTGTCATTCAATAATCAATATTACATATGAAATTCAACATTATAGACTGTTCTCACACAAAAATCAAATCCCCTTGAGGTACATGTTTCCCTGTCCCTCTGCATTACTCACCTGGTGCACCCAAGTCCTTGAGCAAAAACAGTCCCAAGGATGGGTTTGCCTTTGCTTCAGAAACATGTCATCTGAAACTGGTCAATCAGGGAACACAGGGCTGCTCCCATTCTCAGGAAGGTGGGCCCCATCCTGTCCTGCTCCTGGCACCTGACCCCCCCCAGTTAAGGTAACTAAACCCAGAATCCTTTTGGCAATATCTGCTGTGCAAGCATGCATTTATCTCCAGATGTCCCTATTGGAATTGCAGTCAGGGTTCTGCAGCCAGAAGAACACACCAAAGACCCCAAACCCTTCACCTGCCCAACCAGAACCTTTTAATCACTTTTGATCCAATCTAAACCAACTTATGACCATTTGTGACACAAGGATGAGGAGCATTATTAAATGGGTCACTGTGATGGGTGACTATGGCGGTGTTGCAGTACCATCTCTGGTTCAGGCCCTTGAGTCCTGGCTCTCAATATCACAGCTTGGCTGCACGGCCCATCCCTGCTGCCTGTGTTCTTTACAGGTGAAATTGCCACAGTGAAGATAAGCTCGGACTGGTATGGGTCAGTAGCAGATCCAGAGAGTCATGAAGAAGGAAAATGTTTTGCCTATTATCGACTAGCAAGTAGCTCAAGTTCTCCTCAAGGATACTGAAGGTTCTTGGCCTCCCTCTCATGGGAGAAGTTAGTATTGCCTTCTGCCGACAAAGTCTCCTGTGTCCCTGCAGCGGGTGGCTGGAGGAAGTGCTCAGGATGGTTGGTAAAGCTTTAAAGTGAGCAGCCTCGACCTTTTCTTTGCAACAAACACACCCAAAACTGAAAGACCTTTTTATTTCTAAGGCATGTTACAGCCTGATTGCTTTTGAATTCCATTTAGCTCAGCTGGCCAGAGCATGATGCTAACATGAAGATTATGGGTTTGATCCCGAAATGGGCCATTCACTCAAGAGTTGGACTTTATGATCCTCGTGGATCCCTTCCAGCTCAGAATATTCTGATTCTGTGAATTACAGCAGTAAAGAGCTGGTGTGCCTGAAAAGCTTGGCTGCTTTTATTTTCCTATCATATTATGCTAATGAAGGATATGTTGTCTTTTATATTCTTCTTACACTTTTTATCACCACTGTTGCTTTTTAATCCTTGAAATTTCCACTTCCTAGCTCAAAATTACTTCCCCTCTGTTAGAAAATACATTCA